GGAATGCCGGCGCGCCGCCAAAGCCTTCCTCAAGGTACTGGTGGGCGGACTGCGCCTGCGCGGCTCTTCGGGCCCACTCTGCGCCTGCGCGGATCTCCCCGCCTTAGCGCCCGCGCCTGCGCAGCATCCTGGCCCCGCCCCTCCGCCGGCTCTCCTCCTCTCCCCTCTGCGCCTGCGCGACTCTCTGAGCTGGGGAGAACTTGCCAGCGCGCTTTTGGGGCTTTTCCTGCACCTGCGCACTGTAGTGTCGCTCCTGCTCGGACCACTCGCCTCCTGCGCCTGCGCACCACTCCATCACTTGCGTACCATTACTTTTTTTCTTTTTGAGAGGTTTTTGCTATAGGGCGTGTGCGCTCGCTGCAATCCCTTCTCCTCCATTCTCCTCTCAGGATCTTGGGCGGGCACGCACGCACACGCGCCCGGCGTGAGTTTAAGCCGCCAGGTCCGGGACTTGAACCATGGTTGGCTACATGGGAGTTCAGCGACATAGCCATTACACTAACTGATGGTCCCTACTTTTTTTTTTTAAAGAGAGGTTTTTGCGAGACCAGCAGATGCCATAATGGTTACGTCGCTGGACTCCCACTTAGTGTGACTGGTCTGTTCGAGTCCCAGACCTGGCAGTTTAAATTTATGCCGGGCACGTGTTCCTGTGTGCCTGGAATTCCAAGAGGAGAATGGAGGAGAAGGGATTGCGGTGTGGCCACCCCTAGGGGGTGATATCTCCCTTTCTGTCTCTCCGTCTCTCTCTTTCTGGGAAGCATACATGCCCTTTTGCTATAGAGCGTGTGCGCTCTCTGGAAAGACGGAGACAGAAAGCAAGAAATCACCCCGCTCTAGGGGGATGGCCACACCGCAATCCTTTCTCCTCCATCTTCCTCTTGGGATCTTGGCCACACACACACACAGGTGCCTGGCGTGAGTTTAAGCCACAGGTCTGGGACTTGAACTGCCATGGACTAGCGGGAGTCCAGCGATGTAACCATTAACACCACCTGCTGGTCCAGTTACCTCCCTTCTGTGTGCCATATGTGTTTTCTCTGTGTTTCTGTTCTAGTGTTTTCTCTGAGGCTTTCCTAGATCCAGAGGCTAAGAGCTGGAGACCCTCAGTTTGAATCTCCAGCCCGCCAGTAATCAAGTTTTCTTGCACGAATTACTATGCCTCTCCCTGCCTCAGTTTCCCATATGTAAAAGGAAGATTTCAGGGACAAGCCGATGGCGTAATTGTTATGTTGCTAGATTTCCATGTAGCCAACTGTGGTTCAAGTCCTGAACCTGGTGGCTTGAAATTCATGCTGGGCACAAGTGCTTGTGTGCATGCATTTAATTGTATTTGTTATTATTTTTTAATTTGACCTGAGAGAGAGAGCGAAAGAGAAAGAGAGGAAGCCAGCCACAAGGTCCGGGATTCAAACTGCAGTCAGCCACATTGGAATCCAGCACCTTTAACCACCATGCCACTTGCCAGACCCAATAAATAATTATTTTTTAAAAAGACAAGTGTTATTTGTTAGTGTACAGATGGTTTCATGAATGCTTTATCAAATTATGAAAGTTCAAGTACAATAATGTTTGCAGGCTATCAATGATAGTGTGTCTTATTTCTAATGAAAAATTAATTAAAAATATAAATATATAAATAATCGTATAGGGGGCCAGCAGGTGGCGTGGTGGTTAAGGGTGCTGGACTCTCACATGGCCAACTGTGGTTTGTGTCCCGGACCTGGCGGCTGGCTTTCTCACTTTCTCTCTTCTCTCACTCTGTCCCTCTCTGGTCAAATTTAAATAAATAAATAAAGTTAAATAAATAACTTTTCGAAAAATAAAACACTACAGTATAACCTGAGCCCACAGACTTGGTTAAGGATTCAGTGCAGCGACACATCAGATAGCTCTGGCAAACACCAGTATGGCATGAGTCTTAGCTATTACTCCTTTTTTTCAATTGTATTTATTAGTATTACTTTTTAAGTTTGACCAGAGAGAGATACAGAGAGAGAGAGGAAAGGGAAAGTGAGAAAGCAAACCACCAGGACCAGGGTTCAAACTGCAGTCAGCCATGTGGGAGTCCAGTGCCTTAACCACTACACCACCTGCTGGTCCCTAGCTATTATTCTTTTTAAAAAAAATAATTTTTAAAGAATTATTTAGTTTATTTGCTATTATTACCTTTTTTTTTTTTATTTGAGCAGAGAGAAAGAGAGAGAGAAAGAGAAAATGAGAGAGCAAGCCACCAAGTCCAGACTCAAACCATGTTGGGCCATGTGGGATTCCGGCACCTTGACCACTGAGCCACCTGCTGGCCCCCCAGCTGTTCTTCAGCTTGTTATCAGTAGTGGCTCTCGCCCAATGGCATTTCCTTAGCAAGGTCTTTCCCCACCACTTAGTGTCCTAACCCTCCCCCCTCTCCACCACAGCCTCTTTTTAAAATTTCTGCCCAGCCTTCACCCTCACCTGGGACCATGGTAGTTTTTTTGTTAGGTGGGTCAGTTCCACGAGGGCAAGAATTCAGCCTGCCTCACTCCAGTGCAGAAATCCTCTCCTTTGTTCAACGAATGGGTGTCCACGTTCAGATCAGGACAGGGGATACACTGTCAAACGGCGCGTTTCAGCCTCATAAGCAAGTAACTCACGCAGCAGACAGGCCATGGCCAGTCCACCAGAAAGAGCAGGCAAGGTAACCAGAGCCAGGAGCAGGGGTTAAACTTTTTACATACGGAGACCAGCAGGTGGCATAGTGGTTAAGACGCTGGATTCCCACATGGCCAACTGCCCTGGTGGCTTGAAACTCAACGCTGGGCACATGTGCATGCATGCCCAACATCCCAAGAAGAGAATAGAGAAGAAGGGATTGTGATGTGGCCATCCTCCCACCCCCAACAACTGAGGGGCGATGTCTTGCGGTCTGTCTCTGTCTCCCAGCAAGTGTATGTATCCTAAACTAAAAATATCTCAAAACACACACACACACACACACACACATTAAATATGGGACCAGCAGTTGGCGTAATGGCTATGTCGCAGGACTCCCATGTAATCGACTGCAGTTTGAGTCCCAGACCTGGTGGCTTAAACTCACGCCGGGCGCGTGTGCGTGCGTGCCCAAGATCCCAAGAGGAGAATGGAGGAGAAGGGATTGCAGTGTGGCCATCCCCCTGGGGGGTGATTTCTCACTTTCTGTCTCTATGTCTCTCTCTGTCTGGCGAGCACACATGCCCTATAGCAAAAACCTCTCAAAAAAAAAAAAAAAAGAATGATTTTAATTAATTAACTAATTTTAATTTGACCAGAGAGGGACAAAGCGAGAGAGAGAGAGAGAGAAAGTAAGAAAGCAAGACACCAGGGCCAGAACTCTAACCACGGCTGGCCACGTGGGAGTCCAGCGCCCCTAACCAGCATACCACCTGCCGGCCCCAAGATGACGATCATTTGAGCCAAGATGGTAACAGGGAGGAGGAAACTGACCCAATTTGAAAGGCAGAGCCGAATTCCCTGACGGATTGAGTGTCTCCGAGAATGAAGGGCTGAGATGCCTATCTTGGGCAACTTGAAAGATGGAGGTGCTGTTGCCCAAGATGGCGGAAGGCTGGAGGGGAGAGTGGAGGCTTGGAGGCGTGGGAAGAGGGTAATGCTGGCAATTCATTCTCTTTGGGCTGTGTGGATTTTTTTTGGGGGGGGAGTCTTTTTATTTTATTATTTCATTTAAGAAATATTTAATTTGATTTATGTATTATTCTTTTCTAGTTTAGCCAGAGAGACAAGAGAGAGAGAAAGCAAGCCTCCAGGTCTGGGACTTGATCCATGGCCAGCCATGTGGGAGTCCAGAGCCTTAACCACCACGCCACCTGCCAGTCCCAGGGATGGGTGATCTTATCAGAGGACAAAATAGGGCAAATGACCAGCAGAAGAAAAAGGGGTCCAGGGACCGGCAGGTGGTGGTTAAGGCACTAGACACTCCCACATGGCCAACCACGGTTTGAGTCCCAGACCTGGTGGCTTGCTTTCTCACTTTCCCTCTCTCTG